TACCCCATCAAAAAAAAAAAAAAAAAAAGGGCACAGCGAGTTTAGCGTGGGTCCAGAATGTGTCCAAGCCTCGACGTCCACATCCCCTGTCCCTTCCACCTTCCCATCTCTTGGAGCGTTTCCTTCTTGAGCAACCATCTCCATCACCATCTCCATCAAAACTCTTCCCCGTCTTTTGCCATCACGCGCACGCGCCCATTCATCGCGGGTGAAGTCCACTGTTCCTTTGCGAGCCGCAGATATCATTCAGGATTGTCGTTTCTGCATTTTTTCTTGGCCTGTTTGGCTTTTCTGATTTCCTCCAATTTCAGGACGCTGCACATTCGCTTCACGGTGGCGGCATCATTCGATCGCGAACCAGCCTGCAGCTCTTCACGCTCGTTGCTCTATTTCTCGCAGGCGCGCATTGCGAAACACGACAAGCCTTTTTCTCTGCACGGTCGGAACCACGTTGACACTGACCAGACGGCATCATGGGTTTACCGTAAGTATTTCCTTCAGCAAGACTCTCCAGTCAAATAGTGTCCGGTCGTAGAGATGAGCTTGTGACCTGGGCGCTCGTGCATCTGTTATTGTCCTTCCATCTCACGTATCATGTATTCATCCCGTCCTTACCTTTGCCTTCCCTTGCGATCTTCCTGGCGAATATCTCCCATGCGCGTACAACAGTTTGTAACGTATTGTGCCCAACGCGTGTCTGATGAACCGTCAACCGCGGAATTGCATTGTTACTTGATCCAGTCTCCTGCTGCTCTTCCCATTCAACCCTATCCGGTTTATTGTACCATTTAGAGCCGTAACTGATGCCTGGACCTCAATAGTCTGTTTGTGGAACCAGTCGAATCTGACCTGCCCAACAAGACTTCCATTAAGGCGGGAGCCACCTCACCTCCACGCTCCGACTCGCGACGCCCAAGCCGATCGGAGATCCGCGATCGTCGCAGCGGTATAAGACGTGCGGGCGTGCGAATTTATAATTCGGCGCAACGAACCGTGCCGCGCAATGCGCGTGAGCGATTGCTTCCATGGGTTGAATCGTCGTCATCCAGGACCCAAGATCCAACCGAGGCCGCTGCAGCAGACCGTCGATCAGGAATCTTTCGTGAGGTGCTACGAGAGATGAATGGGAGTGATGAACGTCGCAGGGAGCGCCTTGAAGAGCGCATGAGTGCGCTATTCAACTCTACTTCAGGGTCAGCACCTCCGGAGCATGAAAATATGTCTGAAGGGGTTGATCTCGGGTGGTGGTCAGCCGGAGATGGCTCTCGTTTGGCGCATATAAGACGGTCAAGGGTGGTAGGTTGTTACCTTTACAACTACATATGTAGTCTATGTTGGCAAGTGAATTACTCACTGATGCGCCCACAGCACGGCCCTCACTCCCAGACGAACCGAATTGCAGACGGACCTCTGCTTCTTCCACCCCGCAGAGCACATCCTCGCCAACATCAGGATATAACCGCTACTCGCACCGGGGATTTTTCGCCACTTGACCCTTATTTAGTTCGCAGCCTGAATGCCCGCCAGATGATGCCTAGTCGACGCGGTGCCTTGGGCATGGATGGCCTTGGTGACCGAGAGAGAAGCCTGAGCCCTGAAGGGTGGGATACACTTTTGTCCACGCTGACACCAGATCCACAACCACCAAGCGCCGGCTCGTCCTTCGCATCCGTGGCGGCTTCCCAGACTGCCGGACCGTCATCAGGTACGCCTACCGCGGCTCCGGATATTATAGAGGAAGCACTTGTGGATGCCCCCTGCGAATCCGGATGCGAAAACTCAGACTTGGACATGGATGATGCGGATTATGAGCATCCTGATTTCGCGCGTATCCGGCGGACCCGCCAAGATAGAAGAAATTTGGATTTAGTGCGGGCAAACCGACTTGCCTTGACCTCAGGAGACCGTGGGATGGAACCCACGGGACACTTCACACCCGGCAGCCGCACAACTAGACAAATTAACACGGCAAACGGACCCCTGACCATATATGAGTCTACCGGGCGACTGGGTCAAGCAGTCGAGCCGGCTCGCCCGTCTCGACCTGCCAATAACAATTCGCCAGGCGTCTGGATCGGCGAGTTCTCAGTCGGGGCTTCAAGTCAAGAAGACAGCGGCGCTGACGGGCCCAGTCAGAACCCAGAAGACGCTACATTCCCTGCACAGGCCAATGCAATGGCCTCGGAAGACGACTGGGCAGGCATGCAACGCATCGTGCGAAGTCTTGCCCGGAGAGAAGACATCCCCGATGAGTGGTGGGCTGATGCCGGTCTCAGCCGCACACTCAGACAGGAGGAATCTAGTACGACAAGCAACGGTACTCTGCGACAGGGCATTTGAAGCATCTCTCTCTTTTTATTGCAGGCGCAATGCATGGGCTACAATTTGATGAAGAACAGCAGACAAAAAAGTGTTTGCATGCAAAGCAATGAATGGGCGGTAAAACGTGCTCATATTGCGGAAGTCTTGAATGAGGTTATGATTGTATTATATATATGTCGTTGGTGCAAATGGTTCCGGGTAGAAAAAGGGGGCATCGAATGGTCGGAATAGCTGGCGAAAGCCGAAATGGGAGTGAATATACGGGCAGAACTCGGCATGGAACTTGACCACAGTCTCTTGAAGGTGCCTTGGTTATACCCAGCTGTATAAATGGGATGTCTGGTGTACGGAGTAAGGGGAGTTGGAATGCAGAACTCCAGTCTGTGTCATTGTTGGTCGTGATGCCATTGGCCATTGGCCTCCTTTGCCCAAGTGACGTTGCACAGTAGATGAAGCAGCACCACTTGATGTCCCGGCCCTACGACGGGGAGGGGAGAGATGGGCAGGCCAGAGAAGGAAACGTCTAGGAACAGCTTGATTGCTTGACGTGGGTGCACCAGATGGTCAAAACGGCTGAGGAGTCGGTCAGTCAGGCAGGGAGTTGATGTCCAACAGCGACCTCGAACGACTGGCTCTTCCGCGAGTTTCCAGATGTCCTCCCGACCCAAGTAGATTGTATGTATTATTGATGGATAACTGGAGACTGTTTCCCTTGAATTTGGAGCTCAGCACGTCTGGTGTTCCCTCTATCAACACGGCAGGCCACGCAGTGCATCCGGCACCGCAAGTAAGAACCGTGTGTAACCATCCGGCCTTGGGTTCAATCACACCCCCTCCCGCATTTTGATGCCTTACTTGATGACGCGTATGAAAATCTTTTGTAGCTGGAGAGACACTTTTTTTTTTTTCTTCTTCTCTCTACGAGAAAAAAAAAAACATACAAAGATAATTCAAAGACGCCATTCATGACTGCTCTTGCTCTGACGGCAGCCCCGATCATCAACAACCTGGAAAATATCTGAAAGTCGGGGTTTCTACCTGCTGAGTTGTTGAAATAGGGTCTTGGCGGGGAGGGGGGGCAAATATCGGAGCAGATGGAGCTTTTCCTGTGCTGCGGAAGAGTTTTTCGCGACGCCTACGCGCTGGAGCAGCACGTTCGCGATTCTCCAAACCACCAGTTGCCGGGCGTGGCCCGCGACGCCGCGCCATGCTCGAGCACGAAGCCCCTTGGCTCGACTGGATGTTCGGACTCGAGCATTCCGCGGGGTGCGGGTGCCGGGTGCCCCTGCGGCGGGATGGTTGCCGGCGCAAATGGCCTCGATGCTTGGGGCCATGGGGAGCTCTACGGCCCAGCCGCAAGTCATGATGTGAGTGTCATGTGTTTCGCCGTGCTAGAGACTGGGATGTTGATGATTGGGCTAATTGGGAATACAAGCCGTTGGTGAAGAGTTTCACGCCGATATTAGATGCGGATGACGGGCTGAGACACCGGCCAGTGACGTTTGTGAAGGAAGCGCAGGCCAAGGAGAAGAAGGGGGAGGGGGAGGGAAGCACTTCTCATCGGAGTTATGGGGTGTACTCTGGTTCGGGACAGTGGTATTCTGATGTTGGTAATGATCATTCTCTGTGTGATAAGGATTGTGGGTGGTGTGGACATTGCGCCGAGGGAGTTTTATATTAGGGTCTTTTATTTTATGTTTATTTTACGTTATTTTTTTTTCTTCTTTTACGGATTTTTTAAAACTACACTACACCTCGCTACCGGGAGATGTCAACGATGTGTCAAGCCAAATCAGTATTGATAATACTACCTAGTAGTTACAATTTGAAAGCACTTGAGGCAAGTGAGGCAAGTGCGTTCCTTTGGTACGTGCACTGGTGTGTGGGCCCCCCCGCAACCTTGGGCATCATCAAACTTAAGTCTGTTGGAATCAAGGCCTTCCACTCCCTCTCCCGTTCAGCCTTTCTCCCCCCAACTTACATCTATCAATACTCACTTCTCCTGCATCCGCGCATGCCTCGCCATAAACCATGGAGCGGGTGCTCTCCCTCCCAGAGCTTTTGGAGAGGATCTTCCTCCAGCTCGACATGACGACACTGCTCGCCTCCGTCCAGCGAGTTAGCAAAATATGGAACAACACCATTGCTTTCTCGCCAGCCCTGCAACAAAAGCTGTTCTTTCGACCCATCACTGCTGAACAGCTACCTGCATTCCGCAAACAGCTCATGAGAGAGGTCGAAACGACGGGCTCGGCCTATCTCAGGCCCGAGCTCACCAAGTCGGTCCTCAATCCTCTTCTTGTAAAGAAGTTTGGCTGCTGCTTCTTCGACACTGGCCCAGCATTTGGCTACCAGAGAGGGGCTGACTGCTTTAACATGTTGCCATGGAGTCCAAATCATCGCAAATTGATTTCGATATATCGTCCCAGGTGGACTTACCCATACCACCAGGTGGAACCACCCAAACAGCTGGACGAGGCATCTTCTCAACTGGAAGAAACAAGTAGAGCTCGCTTCACAACTAGGGGAGCTAGCTGGAGACGCATGGTAGTATCGCAACCAGCGCCCCCAGGTATTGGCTACCTGATCCGCGAAGTGAGCCGGGAACTTCGTCCTCCCAAGGAGTTTATTGGGGAAGCATTCATCCCGGCTGTGACGACGGGAGGGGCCCAAATGGGCCAGCTTTACGATATGGTTCAGTATCACGCCGGGCACCACAAGTCCAATTTAGCTAATTTCCGAGTCATATGGGAGCTCCCCCAGCCTTTCATGACGGAACATCTGCGGGAGCCCATGCGCCAACTCCTTGGCCAGACGACCCTGCTCGTGTTATTCGCATTTAGCCATCTTGCCTTCATTAGAGAGCCGGAAAATGTTGTTGATTTTGACTCGGCCTTCCGCTGCGAGGAGTTCTTCCTGCCTGACTTTGTTGTGAAAAAGGCCGTAAGAGTCAGGGCACGTGAAGCGGACGAGATGAGCTGTATCGCTCCATCGTACGAACCTCCTTCCATATATCTTGATTGAAAGCTATAGATTGAATTGAACAGTGGATAAGTCCTTGAAATTGGAGCTACCTAGCTGGATGATTGGGGGCATTTTATAGATATCAGAGGTCATCTAATAGGTCATCCAGAAGGTCATCAATCGAGGGTCTTAGTTGTATTGAAGGTCCGGCTTCAATAGGGCCGTGACGTGAGCCTTCACGAGGCTTTTGGTGGCTTCATTCGGCGATTCCGTACAATAGTAGACTTTTTCCATTGAATGAGGGCTTTTTCCGTTGACACCACATATTTATAGTTCTATTGAACGAGTAAAGAAAACAGGAGGAACAGAGTCATCTAGTAAATGCAGTATTAGCCGGCATTCGATGATGCTAGGCTGAGGCTCTGCGTTGATGCAGATTCAATGGGATTCCCACAATACATCACAGGACAATCGGATCCCACCTCAAAATAGGGAAGGCAAAATGTTATTGAATATATAGGAATAGAAACCTGACATATTTCTTGATGGCTGCAAATGATGAAACAAAAGAGAAGGAAGGCCCATGGCTAGCCAAGCTAGTGTGTAGCGTGGCCTATGTCGACCCGGAACTTCTTCAAGATGAAGCGCTGGCGGATGCTGGAGTGCTTGGTCGTGAATTAACCTACAAGACATTTAGTAGGCAGCCAAAGACCAGTTGGTCTGAAATGACTTGGCTTCTGACTTACTTTGACCACAAAGTTGCTTTCTTTGTCCAGTTTTTCTGTCTTTTTCGCCGCGATAACCTCTTTTTCTTCCCGTGAGGCCGGCGTGGGTTCGGATTTGTACTCGCCAATGCCGTCGACACGGCCAATGATCCCTGCACAAGTAGGTCCCAGCCTAGTCAAGCCATCGAATATTCTTTCTTGAAGATCCTGAAATGTCCCATGTTTTCTTTCCTCCTTCACATCGCTCAAGTCGAATCCCATGGCTCCCTCCAAGAATCCAAGCGTGAAAGCGACCCAATACAGCGCTCTCCTTGCATCTTCAACGCCCGGTGGGCGCCGAAACTCGACCGTTCCGCACTCCGAGCCCAAGTGCTTGAAATTCCAGGACACGTATCTGTTGTGGAAGACATCCGCGGGGATCAACGCGGGGAGCCTGACCCCGTCGAACTTTTGGAAAAGGGGTCCCCATGTAAGTGACGATATGTTGCCATGCAGCTCCGCATACGTACGATTGCAACTCTTTTCCTTGAAATTCGAAGCCGCCCATTCGTTCTCTTTCCGGTCGGCGGGGACGGCGGCCGTGACGGCGCGGTCAAAGTACGCGATGGCCTTCATGATGCTGCGTAGTTGTCCGATTTGGTAGCGGTTGCCCCCCCGAGAAGGGGAAACGTGCACGTGCGTCGAGCAGCCTTTCGTCAGTTGGATATCCTCGATTCTTCGGATGGTGTCAAAGACTGTCGTGATTTCTTTCTGCCAGTCGACGTCGGTTGTCATGCATCTGGACACGAGCTCAAGCCTCCCTACGTTGTGGTTGTGGTCTCAGCAACAGTTCGACATTCGGGACATGGGAAATGCCGCGGGACATGGGATGAACCAAGAAGCCGGGTGTCGTGAAATATACCGAAATATACCAAAATATACCCCGAATACAGTGCAACACCATATACTCTGATATAGTATGGCATATCACACATTGTAGAGTAGACTGCGGTATAGTCCCATATCCCGGGATATACTCAGATATAGTTATACCGCATGACTGTGACACCATGCGATGTCTTGTATATTTCCGACAAGGGGGGCAAGCACATCTTTCCGCAGGGCGTACTTACAAAAATTCGGCCTCTCATCTAGCATAGCCTCGTCCAGGACCGACCACGCGTCATATTCCTGCGTTGACACCTCCGCGGCCACCCCAGCGCCGGTTAATTCCTTTGCAATGGCCAACCGAAGAATCTTTCGGTTGATTTTGGCCGGGTCCGTGTCCAGGCCGTGAGCGAGCCCGGCCGTCCACCCGCTCATATGCTTCCGGATGAGCTCCTCGTCGGGCCTGAACAGGAGCTCGACCTCGATGCCGAAGGCTAGCGTGGGATTCGACATTGCGTATATGTATTCTCAAGGGAGGCGAGGTGTTTTTCAAACAAGATGTAAATGCAAAAGCCTTGTTGCTCAGGGGACGAGTGTAGAGAAAGGCAAGCAAGGAGACTGGGTTGACACCAAAATCTCTCGAGAAAACGAAGGGTTTCCAACCATCTTTATAGCCGTTTCTCCTCCCCAGAAGGGCGCTTTGATACCAAGCGCCATGCTGTTCAACAGGAGGCCAAATACCGCGTTCAGAGATGCAAAACTGGTCGAAGCTCGCAGGTTTATGGGCCTGCCACGTCGGCATGGCCCCGTGAAGCCCGACGATTGGACGCTCACGATGCCGGAATGGCCGCCATGGCTCGACGATGCCCAAAGTTTCCCCATCCTTCTGTGCTGCGGCGCCTGTTCAGATACTGTCTGTCCTCACGATGCCCTCAACAGTCCGCGCAGACTGCCGATTTCCATGGCCAAAGCGACCGTTGGAAATGACACATCCGTTCCTCGTTGACGTGTCAATGGCGCAAAGCGCGCCAAGTGCCGCGATATTCGACTCGGGGTGGGCATGGAGTTGCCATTTTCATACAGCCGCGGTAGTTACACGGGAGTTCAGGGGCGAAACGGCCGCCAGGTCGCACGACTGGCGTCAACGGCAAAGCTACATGCAGCGGCGTCCACGCACATGATGAGCCCGCCAAGCCCGGCAGCGGCCTCGTGTAACTTTGTATCCGGCGTGTTCAGGGCTTGTCGCCGGGCGAGGGTTGAGGAGAGTCTGCGGCCACGATGGGGCGGGGGAGGGAGCCGCCCTCCTCGCCCGGGTGAAGTTGACGAGTTCGTTGCTCCGTATGGGAATGTCTGAGGTAATCGTGTGGCTCGTGCGAAGGCGGCGAGCTGGCCTGACGTTGTTGTCGTTGTATGCGGTTGGGCGGCGGGCATGGCCCGTTTGCGCGTGTCTCGGGCCAGTTCACGGAGGCGGCTACTTAACTTGGACTTGGCCCGTCGATGGCCGGCCTGGCTGGAGTTTTCCTTTTGATACAATTAGTAGACTGACTTAGAGTTTGACTTTCTTGCTGGAAGCGGCTAACGCCTTGCAATATCTAATATGTATATCTAATATTGTATGTGGCATGGCAACACTACGATTACGAATGAGAGGGATGGTGAGACGTTTATTCTCGGTGATGCGCGTGAACACGAGTTTACACGGTTCGTTGTTGGTTGCGTGACATGGCGGAGGTGAGGGAGCTTCAGGGCAATCTGTACGAAAGGATGCAAACTAATAGAACCTAGGAATATTTGACAGTATCAACTCGTGTCTTGACGTAAAAAGTACAGTGTGGGTAGTATCCGCGCCTTGTCAACACAAAATCCGTCTTCATTTTCCAGAATCAGCTCCGTTGCAGAATTGTATTTCAGTGTTCTCTATATAGTCTTCTATATACCGGGCTCACTCACCTGACGGTAGAAGCCAGCAGGCGAGTCAACGACTGCATAGCAGCCTTGGTGTAGTCCTCCATCAACATGCCCTCCTTGGGCCTCGAGTCAAACACCTCGACGGACAGCCAGCCCCGAAAGCCAGTCTGAAGAACAGAACCCAAGAAATCCTCCACCGGTAAATATCCTCCGCTATAGGGCAGCGGCCGAAAACTATGACTCCATTCCGACCTTGGCCGCGCCGACGTTCCGCGAAGGGGTGGCTCCATCTTATACGCATCTGAGATCTGAAGCAGATATATCCTGTCGCTGGGGACGGCATGCCTCAGCTCCGTCAGGCTATGCTTCCACCGGCTGACCAGCTCGGCCTGGTTGAGGTACTCGATGCGGCCCGACGCCGTGGTCGGGTCTCCGTACTCTCCGCCCGCAGATTGAAAGGTATCCAGGCAAAGGCCGATATTCGGGCGGCCAGCGCTCTGGGATATCTCCCACACGTCTTTCCATCCCGCGGCGTACGTCGCCCAGCACCAGTTTTCGTAGGCGAGGCGAAACCCCTTTTCCGCCAGCATGTCGGCCAGCTCGCGCAAGTCCTCGGCGTGCTGGCTCATACATGGCGATGCGTCTTCTGCGTCGGTTGAGCCTACCTGGAAGTGAAAAAGTCAGTCGTCTTATTATCTCAATGTCAAACTGCTAGTCTAGGCGGGATAATGCACCAACCTGCAGCATATCCGTGCCCAGCGCTTCCATGATCTTTATCCACCCCCTTGCGCGGTCGAATGCCGCTTCTCTTTCGCGTGCGTGTGTATCTCTTGGCCATCCCTCAAACCTCGAGAATGGCTGCAGCATGAGTATGTTAAGGCCAAGTTGCTCCGTCAGGATGCGGATCTTGCCGGCTACATTGGAGATGGCATCATAGTCGTTCTCGTCAATGGTCCTTCCTTCGATGTCGCCACCGTACGTCAGTATGTCCGGCATAGATATCTCTATTCCGTCGAATCCAGCGCTGCGAATTGCTTCCAACTTTTGGGGCAGTGTCGCATTGAAGTATGGCGGGATACTGCACGATGCAAAGGAGGTGGGAATATTGCAGCCTTGATACTCAATACCCATGACGAATAATTAGCATGTTTTTTTTCCCTATACTTCAGTAAGAGCCTATGCTGTATTGCACTTGTCTATAGCATTGTTTTTTTATATTGAAACGAAAAGAAATAGCATAACATACGGCTAGTCCTTACGACACCACAACGTCATGGTGATGCATGCGGTTCCGGAAGCGACAATTGCGTCATGGAATCTGGCGATACACGGCAGTGACCGAATGAGCTTCCGAAGTGGTAACCCGGAGCGAATGAGTCTAAATTTTCCGGCTGTTGAGGAACTCAAACTTGTTTGTATATATAAACGTGGGAATCCACGGGTGTTGAATGTCATATCCCATGGCTGAAAGTTAAGACACCGTCATTTTCCTACATTCAACAATCAAACCAACAGTGGCCATGGACACTCAATCAGATGCAGCGATAAAGTTCAAGAGAATCGGCATTGTTGGCGCAGGAAACATGGGGTCCATGATGGGATTTGCCTTTTCCGAACTTGGCCTTGACGTCTCTGTTTGGGATGTCAAGAGTGCCAATATTGATGCCTTCATGAAGCAGGTCAACCAGTGCAAGGGATTGAAAGGCAAGATTACCGGCTTTTATGACATACCAGGTTTCGCCGCAAGCTTGGGAGAGCGCGGCGACCGAAAGGTGTTTATCATTTCCATCACGCACGGCGACCCGACGGATCAAGTATTGAGTAAACTCAGGCCTGAGCTAAACGAGGGAGACATCATTATGGACGGCGGCAATGAGCACTATCGAAATACGGAGAGGAGACAAAGGGAATGCAGAGACATCGGCGTAGACTGGATCGGGATGGGGGTTTCGGGCGGCTATCAGTCGGCTCGCCATGGGCCAAGCCTGTCGCCAGGAGGAGATAATACTGCGTTGGAGGAAGTCATGCCGCTGCTGGAACTCTATGCGGCCAAAGACCCCAAATCAGGCGTGCCATGTGTATCGAACATCGGGCCGGGGGGCTCTGGCCATTTTGTAAAGATGGTGCATAACGGCATCGAGGTCGGCATGCTTTCTGCCCTCTGCGAAGCCTGGGGTTTCCTCAACACCGGCATGGGGCTCGACTACCCTCAGATTGGACAAGTATTCCAGCAGTGGAACAATGATGGGGAACTGCATGGCACTTTTCTTGTCAAGATTGCCGCGGATGTTTGCAAGGCAAGAAAACGCGACGGCGGCGGCTACGTCCTCGACGACGTGCTCGACAAGGTCGTACAAGACGACGATGCTTCAGAGGGAACACCATCATGGTCAATTGCAGAATCCGCCTCGAGGCACGTATCGTGCCCGACACTCGCCGCGGGCCTTTTTTTCCGCATTGCTTCGGGGAATCGCCAAGAACGGCTCGAGGTCGCCGAGAGCGTCGTCATGCCCGCGCCACGGTCCTTTCAAGACATGACCGACAAGGACAAGATGGTCCAGGACCTTCGCAGAGCCGTATATTGCGCCTTTTTGGCGTCGTACTGCCAGGGGCTGGAGCTGATTACGCGGGCATCGATTGATGAAGGCTGGGATATCCGTCTGTCTGAATGCATTCGAATCTGGCGCGCAGGGTGCATCATACAGTCAGAGGTCATCGCCGACATGCTGGAGCCGGTCCTAAACACGAACAAGACGCCTACAAATGCCAAACTGGACAGCTGCGTCGGGCGAGAGCTGCAGCGCAACTATGGCGTACTGAAGGATATCGTCTCCCGGGGGCTTGCGCACGACCACTACATGCCTGCCCTTTCCGCAACGCTGGAGTATATGAAGTACGGCGGCGGTACGATGCTGCCCACAAGATTTATGGAAGCTCAGATGGATTATTTCGGGGCTCACTCATATGACAAGCCTGGTGTGCCAGGAGAAGACCCTGGGCCGGTGGGAAAAGGCGCACATCACTACGAGTGGAAGCCTGCTTAGAGTGTTGACGTTAGCCTGACCAACTTGAATGTTACTTCTTGTCTTTGATTTTGCAACTTGGTCCTTCTGAACAATGCGTGTGTGAAGCCTGTCCAAATGATGGACGGAGTTCGAAGTAGTAAACATGGGTTGACTATGGCACTGCAAAAGCAAGCAGTTGACGAGGTCGCCCGCCTGACGACGTCCAGCACAACCCAAAACAGACCTGGCCTTGAACGAGACACGGTGCGGCAGTTGGTAGAAGAGGTTGCTTTCTTGTTGTTTCTCCAAGAAAGGCGGATGGATGTCTGGTGGGGGTGTTGATGTGTCTGGCTGCAAGGTACGGACTAATCATGATCAAATACCGGCACTTGGCCATTGCATGGTCTTGCATGTCTTGCAGTTGCCGGTCGTTGCAACTACTAGTTACTAGTCTCTCGCATGACAACGGGCTTGACTCGGCAATGGCTGAAGGCTTGGAGGCTTGGAGGCTTGGGCTGCAAGGAAGCTTGAGGCAATTGGGAAGATGAAAGCTGAGCCAATCTTACCTTGGCTGGGCAACAGGCAATTTGACCATGCAACAATGAATGTTGACATTTGAGGGCGCCATCAAGCACCAGACAAATTGCATGTGGGCATGAGACGCCACTAGAGACACTAGAGCCACTGGGCTGGATAGCACTTGAGCCTTCAAATGTTTGGGCGCTGGCATCTGGAGGCACCAGACGGTGGACCCAGGAGGGTCAATCTCAGGCACCAGACACCACTTGACCCCTCCCTCCACCAATTGATGATCCATCCATCCATTCTTGGATCCCATCAATCCCCAAGGCCGAATTGCCATTTTTACGTGCGCCAGACGCTTTTCCTGTAAGACCAGCCTTGCTCCATTCCATGTTACCAGTTGACATGTAAATACGCCGTGCGCTGCCAAGGTGCCTCGTGCTGTCATCCCGTCCCACTCGTCCGCCCAGCTCTCGAGTGCTCTCAGCTTCTCACCCTTGACCCCTCCGTCCAAAGCTACTTCAGCCCTCGACAGTTTCACTAACTTTGGAGCCCTTTAAACAACAACAGTCTGGTCCCAGCCAGCCCTCCCCCCTCGCTGATCAGCCTTCAGTCTCCCGTCCCAAACCGCACCTTTCGACGACCTCTTCTTGACCGCCTCGTCGGCCTTGTTCTGCAAGTCAACCACCACCAAGGCGCATCCGCAACGATATAAAAGAAGAAAGAAACACTTCGCTGTCTACTCGCTCCGTGTTACCGCCGCTTCCCGACCTCCAGCAGCTGTTCCCTTCCTCGCTTCACTCTCGAGTCGATACCCGCAACACACAACCGATTGTCGCCGGTTCACGGCTAAAGTGAAGTTCAGCTAGATGGTCACATAGCCTCGCCCCGGTACCGCTCCAAATGCCAACCCGACCTGTTTCTTCCATGATCTAGCATGCGACAGGCGCCCTCTCCCTGAGCCACGACCGTCCCAATATCCCGACGTCGCCTTTGCCCAGCCCGGCCACAACAGATATTGTGCAAGACACAATACATTGACGCCGGCGGCACACACACTGGGGCGGTGAGTAACCACCACTCAGAGTTATGCCGCCCGAGCGGCAGTACCACGCCAACCATGGCCATGGCCGACATG